CACAGAAATATATCAAGAAATAGGAAGAAAACAAGATCCATTCTAAGACATTTAGCTACTCTTTCAGTGCATGCAAATTATTAAAGCTGCCCGGTTAATGACAACTAATCTGCTTTTACACAATGATTGATATAATGAACTAGTTATCCAATGTATCTGTTATTAAATTCTGGCAATATCTGCATATTTTCCTTCTATTTGTAGTTTAATAAAATATAATTTCTGTAATATGATCAGACAAAAATCTGCAACCACTTTGCGTTCATGAAAGTATTTTGCATACAACATCATATTTCATATATAAAGACTTTGCAGCAACAATAACCCAGAATCAAAACCCAGTGTGATTGTTGCTATAGAAATATATATAAATATTGTTGCTATATATAAAGAAAGTAAACAAAGAGATTATGTTTCACTTCTCTTTTGCTATGGTCACACTATCAGAGACAAAATATGAACATCAACACATGTATAAGTAACTTAATGTGAATTACATATACTGTCACACACAAGTGATGCATACAGTTTTGATGTACATTTTAGAAAGCAGACCTTTCAGGTCAAGACAAAGCAACTTTAAACGAAGTATGCAAAGGATATAAACTGTTATTAGGAGCCAAGGCCCGTATTTATCAAGCCTCTGAGAATTACTCTCAAGAACGCTGCTCAGAATTGACTTAAGTGTAAAAAGTAAAAAACAAATATTGTCTCAAAACTGCGCTTAAAAGTCTGTTATCAAGCATCTCATTGGTAATTTAAGCGAAGTTTAGGACTAGATCTTAAGTGTCAGTCTTAGAGTTGATTCACGACACTTTGCTGTGCCACAAACGGGATTTTGGATGACGAAATACACATGGACCAATCATTGAACAGATTTCCTTATTTAAGAATATTATCAGATAAATTCACACCGAATGGTTAAATTCCTATTAGGAGTTTACATTCAACACACATTTGACAATAAAGAATTTTCAAGAGAATACATTATGATAAGGAAACAAATCATCATCACAACCTTCAATTTAGGGTTGTGCCGGTAAACGAGAGTATCGTGTATTGACGATAGTCAGAGATATCGCCTTTTGCTGATTTCTTTGACGACAGCAATATGATTATTATTATTTTTATCCGTCAAAAATATAGGCGCATATCTTTAGTGATGCAGCATGGAGAGCCGCTTCAGAAACTTGCCTTGGTGCGGCCGGTGAGTAGCCGTGATCAGCTCCGGTGGCCGTGTCAGAGCCGTAACGCGCCGCAGACGTGTGCAGTGTAAATAAGGGGTAAGAGATTTATTCATGATACAGTGTAGGTAGCTTCACTGATTATAACAAGAGTGTTTTTAAAGAGCATATAATACTCGCACTAGACTGAAGTCAGTTATGATGTTCTTTGGTAATGTAAACATCATTTTGCTTCAATGTTGCTGGTATTATTGTTGCTTTACTGTCAAATAAATTATAAGAAAACCGAGACTCTTAAATGTGACATTAGGAGAGTTTCTATGAAGGGGAAGTAATGAAAATGACGCACATGTTGCTGTGACTCTTTTGCTCTTGTGGTAGTATTTTGAGGTTTTTGAAACTAAAGAAGCAGAATAAGAATAACTATCTTCCCCACTCTGGTTAAAACCATAGAGCAGAAACAGAGCAGAAGTCAGACCACAACCATCAGCTCAACCTTTATTAGGCCTCTTAACACTTCTGTCATTTTCTCACTACAAGCAGCTTCTAAAGTCAGCAATGCACAAAGAACAATGTGTCTTCAATAATGAGCAAAAGAAGCCAGTGCAACACGCGGAAATGTGAGGCGTATTGCTGTAACTGCATTTTCATTATTTTTTTACTACCCATGGCCTGAGAAAAATGAGGCCCACTATACAGAAACATATTTATAAATATGCAAGCTATAAGGCAGGAAGAACCTCAGACACTTTGATCTCCTGAGATATGGACAATACAAACACAGAGTGTTAACATACAGGCAT